TCGTCTCTTTTACAAGACTGCACCAAGCTCTCCAATAATGAGGTGTAACTCGGCCAAAAGTTACAGAGCTCATATCGGACTATAGGTTCCCTTTCCTTGGAATATGGAAAGGTGTCATGTCCCTTGGACTGACCCTTGACCCGGCCAAAGGAAGGGTGATACCGAGGGCCCTAAGAATGTTAATGCCAACCACTGGGTGCCAAGTGGCGGCTATACCATGTGGTATTGATAATCAGACCTCCCACAACTACATTTCAGCACAACCAACACAGCACAATCCAACCATCTAATTCCACACAACTTCATATCCATAAAGTATTCTCAGATTCAATAATCAAATTTGTTCAACATCAATAAGATATTCATAAGATGAAATAATTCATGCCCACTTAACTAATAAATTTAACAAAACATAATTCTTGATATAGATATACAAATTACTTTTCATACAAAAATCACCATAACACATATTGATAACATTTATAATATCAACACATGCTTATAATCACATCAACAAGCATACAAGGTAAATTAGAAAGTGGTTACCTCAAGTTCTTGACACAAGAACTAAAAGTAGGAGGATTCAAACCCAAGAGCCCAAACCAAGCTTACTCTACAATAATAAATTGATAAACATATATTAATATAAAAAGACTAATTAATATAGCATTAAAATAGTTTATTAACTAAATCCCCATAATTGGTTTGCTTAAAAAATTATCTTTAGAAGAATAATAATTCATCTATTCCTCCAAGTGACAATTCCTAATACTTCCCAACTCTTTTTCTCTCATTCACATCATTAATAAGAATATTTCCTTCAAATCATCTAAAAATCTCCAAAAAGTGCTTACTTTAACTCTTAGAAAAATAACCATATATCAACTATACCTTCAATCATTATTAAAATCCTATTCTCTTCTTCCATTAATCATTTCCCACTCATTAGAATCAATAACTTAGAATATTTTCCTCAATTTCCTCCAAACACCCAACTTCCACTAATTAAAGTTTCTCCAAGAATCATTAACATTACTATTTCAACAACAATCCTCAAAATTTAAGCATTGGATCCTCAATATAACCTCAAGTGAACTCAACTAAGAGATAAATTTCGAAATTAATGTCATCATTAATACAAATCACAATTTCCCAACCAATCCCTAACTCACATTGCCTCAAATCAACCATCAACTAAAAATCTAAGTCATAAGGTTTCTATTCTAACCTCATAAGCTCCATTAATATCATCAAAATGAGTTAGAAACCTTAAAAATAAAAAAAACTAACAAGCCCTAATAAACTTTATTTCAGCCATAAACTTACAGAAATAAAAAGAAAAAAGCTAAATAAAAATTGTAGGATGAAAATAGCTCACCTAAATATCTTATATGTACCCAAGTAGAGCCCTTCCTTTCACACACTCACACTACCTCTCGCCCCCGCTCATTGTCGCGGCGCTGCGTGGATGTGGACCAGAGGAAAGAACAAAGCGGAAAGGGAAGGGGAAAAGCGGACGAAGGGGTGGGGAAATAATAGTGGGTCACGTGATCCACCATATATTCCAATTTTCAATTCATTTTTTTTTTTTGAAAGCCACGGTCTAATGGGGACTTAGCCCCCCCTCCTTCCCGCTGGCAGTGGGTGGCCCACGTGCCACCCACTTGCTTTTTTATTTTATATATATATTTTTTAATTTTTTTTAAATATAATTTTTTTTTTATAATTTATATGTATATCACAGAAACTATGATTTACAATTTATTCAATAAGCTTTCATATTAAGTATTATGAATTAATCTCACCCATATAACCTAAATCCTATAATAAGATAAAGGAAAAAAAATGGAATGTTACAGCAAAGCTCTTGGATCTAACCCGATGATGTATTGTCTGCTACCTGACTCTCCTAGTATTTCTCTGGGAAAGAGCCTGAAACAAAATGTAAAAAAAATAAATTAAATTAGTCAAATTGGACAAAAAATAAAAAAATTATAATTAATGCAATATTATCATACTATCTGCTCAGCGGACATCCTAAAATAAACATAACTCGACGAGTCTTGCTCCGAAACTCCACCGGGTATATCTGCCAGTATCTTTTGCAGGGGCCTCGTCCCGTCACCTTTCTTCTCCCGCCATAGGTCAGCCCTCCTGTTCTTCCATGCTACTCCAAGTCTCTTGATCGTATCTGCCCTCAACTCCTCTCCTAGTATAAATTTACTTTGTAATTAAAAAAAAAGAATTATATTCATTTCGCTAATATAAATAAAAATAAATTAAATAAATAAAAAATTATAATCAAACAATTAAGCAATTTAAATAAAAAATATATATTCATTTAAATAATTTAAAAATATTATAAATAAAAAATAAATTACATCAATAACAAATCATAATCAAACAATTAAGTAATTTAAATAAAAATATATTTTCATTCAACTAATTTAAAATTATTATAAGTAATAAATTAATGAAATAAATGACAAATTATTATCAAACAATTAAGTAATTTAAATAAAAAATATATATTCATTTAACTAATTTCAAAATATTATAAATAAAAATAAATTACAGCAATAACAAGTCATAATCAAACAATAAAGTAATTTAAATAAAAAAATATTTTTATTCAACTAATTTAAAATTATTATAAGTAATAAATTAATGAAATAAATAACAAATTATAATCAAATAATTAAGTAATTTAAATAAAAAATATATATTCATTTAACTAATTTCAAAATATTATAAAATTTCAAAATATTATAAATAAAAATAAATTACATCAATAACAAATCATAATCAAACAATTAAGTAATTTAAATAAATATATACATTCATTCAACTAATTTAAAAATATTATAAGTAATAAATTAATTAAATAAATAAAAATTTAAATACAAACAATTAAGTGCTTTAAATAAAATATATATATTCATTTAACTAATTTCAAAATAATATGAATAAAAATAAATTACATCAATAACAAATTATAATCAAACAATTAAGTAATTTAAATAAAAAATATATTCATTTACTTAAATTAAAAAATTGTGAATAATGATTTTATGTTACCTTCATCATTTCCCAACCTTGTTGCTTCTTCTCCAGAGTGATTTTCTTCCAATCCTTCACATAAATGGGGAACAGGGTCCACTGCCGACCAAGAAGACGCATAAACTTATTATACAGCTGGCCACCTTTCTTGGTTGGTTGGCCCAGTTCATTCAACGGCACAACCACCCGTCCGGTCGTCGTCATAGACAGCTTTCTGGCTGTCAGCCTCTTATAGGACCTGTTCCCCTCAGAGTCTGCAAAATTTAATTAAGAAATTAATTATATATTAATTAATTAAAAAAATTTCTATATAAATTAAATTGTTGTCAAATTTAAAAAAGTTGAATAAATACTTACCCTCAAATTCTATTTCATAACCGGTCTGGTGTCTAGAAGAAGGACGCTACTCAGTATGGGGATTCTTATTCCCCTGAACCTGCTCCTCCTCCTCCTCCTCCTCACTAGCATCACCATGGGGTTGTTCATCCCCTGAGAAATGAGCCTCCTCAGTCCGTTGGATATCATCATGTTCCATGAAGTGCAGGATATCCTCCTCGTTCAGATCGTAGTAATGAATGCTCAGGAATAACTCACTAGCATCATGACTCCCACTACCACAATCCTTGCTGGGTCCTGCTCTCTTAGGATCAATCGGCTCCTTCCCTGCTCGACAACTCATCCTAATAATAGCAAATAGCATCAATTGTAATGAAAAGTATATTTTACAACTAACAATTATTAAAAATAAATAATTATATCAAATAATAATTATTTCTATTAACTCTAAATAATAATATCAAATAATATTAATTGAAAAACAGATATTCCTATATTTAAATTTGCTGTTAACTCATCAAAAAAAAAAACTACTTCTATTAACTCTATAAAAACTAGCCTACTATAAAAAAAATTTCTATTAACTCTAACTAAATTAAGCTAGTCTATCAAACTTAATATAAAAAATAAAATAAATAAATAAAATAAAAATAAAAACAAAAATTATTTATAAATAAATTACTATTCTTACCTGAAAATATGGATATGCAACTGGATCTAGATTTGGATCTGGATATACTTCGTGGAGAGAATTCGGTAGAGCTTCGCTTCAAAATTCACCAAAATAGTGAAAATGACGCGGTGGTGGGATATATATAGGCCGCGATTTTTTAGCGATTTTCAAGGAACCGCTAGAAAATTCTAGCGGTTTAAATAAAATCGCTAGAAATTTCTAGCTGTTACACTACGCCACCACCTGCATTCAGCCACGTGTCACAACTCCTCAGGAAAAATAAAAAATTTCTAGCAGTCTTAAGAGAAACCGTTAGAAAGTTGATTGCATTAGTAGCGGTTTAGTAACCGCTAGAGAATACAACGATGATTTGCATTCTCTAGCGGTTCCATCAGCAAAACCGCTAGAAATTAAACACTGGAAGTATGGCGCCAACTTCGTGCCAATACACGCGAACAATTGTGGTGGTCACTTTCTAGCAGTTTACTGCTAACTGCTAGAAAAGTCTGGGGCCCACTCGATTTTGGTCAAAGCGCTACGAATTTCTTACGGCTTGTTTGAAAAATGCTAGAAATTTCTGAATTTGTAGCGGTTTTATTTAATCACTAGAAATGTACCACTGCTAATTCAACTTTTTTTTTTGTAGTGATTTTTGGAAGAAAGTCACATGATTCACAAAGAAGAGAAAGCTGCATTTATCATAAGGGAATCCATATTCAATGAATCTTGTCAAATTATTGACATAATCTACACAAAGAAAATAACTTGGCCCTTCTATTGATGAATTGAAAACAAAGTGTTAAACTTTTCAAAACTAAACAGACTTGTCATTTGAATTAATGTGAGAAGTCTCAAATTTGAAATTTAGTAATTTTAAGTTTCTTTTTGTGAAATTCTTATTAATTCTCAAAATCAAGCTACACACGCCAAATAATCAATCATCAAACCAATAAAACACACTTATTAATTACAATTTACAACCAATGAATCAGAAAAGGAAACAATTTAACAAACACAAATCAAATGGAAATCAAAGATATCCTGCAAATTGAACACAGCCACAGGCCATCCAACAGAAACACAAATTAACATACAGCTTTCCTAATAGCCATTAACTCTCTCACAAATGACGATCAATTAATCAATTGATTGTTTGATTTGAATACTAATTAAATATTAATCACCAATCAAGTCATTCAAAATCTTTTCATCTGCAGAATTTTGCAGACGAGCCGCAGCTTTTTCCACCTACAAAAAGGTAAAAATTCAATTAAAGCATGCCCATTTGTTCTGAATATATAATAAATCAAATAAGTCTATTTGGAAAAAAAAATTCTACAAAGTAATTATCTTAAAATTAAACAAATAAATAAATGGTATTAAAAATGTCAAGAGTATTACCTGAACCTCCCAGTCAGTAAACATTATGATCCCACCAACAATAATTGTCTGTAGAGCAACTCCAATAACCCAGCCCCAACAAAGACCCTAAATAATCATAAAAAATAATAAAATAAAACACACATATTATTCGTAATATAATTCACATAATCTCCAACAGTATAATTAGTATATAATTAATCACATAGAACTAGATACAATAATTAATATTTTTAATTATAGTTATCTCTTATTTGTGTGGCTGTACGGACTACACTGATAACCTTAAATTATATCAATTGAGTTACGATACGATCTTGCTTTAGATGAAGTTATCACTTATCATAACATATAAAATGTGCAGTACGGTTCAAATCCGTTTGCAAAATTCATCACAAATTTTTTTGGGGGAAAAAAGAGCACGTTCTATGCTAATCGCAATTTGAATCATCCAAATTAATTGTGAATGGTCCAGATTTAATTTAAGTCTTCTTAATGTTTTAATTAATTTTTTGTTTTAATATATATAATCTAAAATAAAGATAATTTTATAATTAACACTTCCTTAAAAAAATAAAATTATTATTGAAAATTTTGCATATTAAAAATTTAAATTTAAACCATCCATATCAAATTTTGGATAGTTTAGATTGCATCAAGCAAGGACTCCAAAAGAAATTTTTCACAAATCTAATCACAAAAGTTTTGCAACATTGATATGTTGCAAACTTCTCAACGTATCTTATTTCATATGATCATTCATTTTTGTAAATAGCAAATTCACTCAAAGTAATTAAATAATCGGACATGCTAAACAAGGATTCAAAGTTAATGTCATTTTATCCTCAATAAAAGAAAAAATATATAAAACCTAACTCGATCAACCCTTCCAAAATTTCTGATTAGACTAGGCACGGCATTAGTTTATCGGTTCACTTGTCTAACCAGCTTATTTAGATTAACTTTTAATATTATAGTAAATAGTATGATATATATATATATATAGTGAAATTATTAGAGTGTGATTAAACTTACAGCAAGTCCTAAAGAGGTTTTGAAGCCAAGAAAGTAGGCAAGAGCGAAGCTAATAGCATAAATAACCAAATTCATCCAACCCACTATGGCTTGTCGTCCACTTCCAATTGCTTGGCCTGACATTTATATATACCCACATTTAAAAGATATCTCATAATATATATATAGATAATTAATCGAAGAAAAACAATTAATAATGATAAATAATTACGTGTATGTACTTACCAAAGAGGACAAAGTGATTGCCATTGATGAGAAAGTAAAGGGCAATAAGGGGAAACAAAGAGGAAGTGACTCGAATAACTTGGGAATCAGCGGAATAGAGTTTGACTAGGGCCACGCGAAACGCCAAAACAATCGCAGCTAAAATGAAGCATATCAGAAAGCCAATTCCATTACATACTGCGACTGACAATTTTGCCACTCTTGCATTTCCAGCCCCAAGTTCATTTCCAACTCTCACACTGCACTTATGCTACATTGGATGTTAAATTCAATAATAAAAAAAAAGTAATTTTCGAGACGGGCTTCAAGAAGTTATTACTTCCTCTTGTCTTAAATATAAGAGCCAATTAAAAGTTTCGTTAGTTCACAAACAATAGAAGTAGTTTCCAGGGGAAAAGATGATAAAAAGGAGGAGTATTTTAAAAAACCAATGCATTTTTTTAATAAATAACTAATTTAACTAATTTTTTTAATTTGTATAATATGATTGACCTGGCAGCAAGTAATAAGCCGGTGACAAAACTGGAGTGCAAGTTGACGTAGTTGAGACTGAAAGGAAATTAAGGAAAACAGACATGTCATTAGACATTAAAGGGATTAATTAAGGTTAGGGGTAAAGAAATTAAATTAAAAAAATGAAGAAATAAAAACAAAAAGAATATTATATGTTACCAAATGGAAAGAGAGTCCACTGCAATGGTAGAGTTCGGAAGCATCTCTGATAAAACATACACTGCAAGAGCAAACCCTACATCCAAACTACAATATTGTTTTCATTATAAGGAATATTTATCCAAAATACTACCTTCAATTCTTAATATAAAAGCTAGTTTGATATTCAATTTGGTTCAAGATATAAGACCTTCTATTTTGTCTCTCATATTTATCCATTTTTGAGGTAGTTTTTATAATAATTACATAGGTTAAAAGTTTCATTAGATAATAGTTTTAGCTAATACACATGATTAAGGGTATCTTAAGAAAGATAATACCTATTTATTATAAATAACTAATTTAACAAACTTTTTTAATTTATTCAAATTAGTTAACTAGTTCTTTTATTAAGTAGAAAGGTAGTACTTTGCATGAAGATAAGATTATTATTTGGAGACGTACCACATCATGGCAGCAGAAGAAACCACAAGCTTGAGATAAGTCCACAATCCTTTCAGCTTAAAAGCTTTAAGAGAAAAACCAGTCCAACTTTTTCTGCAAGAAGGGCTCCGAATAATATAAAGCCCTATGATAAACGCAAGCAGCCACCAAGAGAGACACAAAGTAAGAGCAGCACCCAGAAGACCAAACCCTAGAACAGAGACGACGAGCCATGTGAAAAGAAGATGAAAACAGAAAACTCCAAAAGCTACATAAGCCAGAAAGTTGACAATGTTCTGTGCAATGAGGAATCTCTGCATGGGATATACGAGAGCGTAGGCGTAGAGCATAGGGATTATTTCACGTCCAAAAGTTTGACCTATTTCAGCAATCTCGTCACTGTCATTTTTGCCCAAGAACTTAAGGATTGGACCAGAATACCAGAAGAAGAAAGTGAGCACTACGGCTGCTAATAACTGCATTATCATTGATCTTTGACAAATAATGCCCATAACTGCATGTTTATTCGCCCCATATGCTTGCCCACATAGAGTTTGAACTGCACTAGCCATTCCTACCTGCTCACACATATATTTTAGCTATACAGATTGTGTGTGTGTGTGTGTGTTTTCATAATAATATTTGGCATTAATCAAATAATAGGATAAATGATAGGCATCGATGAAATTACATACTCCATGTGATCCTTATTACAGGGCATTTTCTAGGAGCAATTTTTGGTTCCAAATATAAGTCACCAGTAAACCCACTAACTAGTTTTTGCTCATTTTACCCTTGTCATTAATTGAGGTTCAAAGTTGAAAAAATTAAATCACATCGTTCAAAGATGGCAAAGTTGGAAACATTTATCAATTTAGAACAATTTTAATGACTTAAATGTCATTTCTTGGCGATGTGAAAATTAGATGAAAATGTCCTAAATAATTAGGACTAGAGGGAGTACTCCTCTAGTCCTATTTATAAGTTATTTTTAACATATTTTATCAAAACTAATAAAATCCTTTAATCTCATTAACCTTGCTTTAAAGTTTAACAACTTTTTAATTTTGTCTCTATTTAATATATTTATTTTCCAAGAAAATAACAATCTATATGATAATAAATGAAGGGTAAAATAATACATACATTCAAGTTAAAAATTTAATAAAAAGTGACTTATACATAAGATTAAAAAAAAAAAAAGAACATTCTCTTTGTATCTTATACTATATCTAGTCCTTAATATAAGAGTTAGTTGATTAATTTGAGTAGATTAAAAAAAATAGTTAAGTTTGTTATTTGTAATAAATAGGTGTTATATTTCCTAAAATATCCTTGCTAATCAAGTGTATGGACTAGAATTATTATTATTACAAGGATTATCTTGAAAAAAAAAATATGAAAGACAAAGTAGATTGGAGTCTTATATTCAGAACCAAAATAAAAGTTAAATGAGATCTTATATTAAGGACCGGAAGTAGTATATTGGATTAGAGGAATATAAGAGACCATATAATGAGATGGATGGAATGGACCCCACATCACATGTCTAACTACCTTGTCACAGAAGCACACTACTGCTATTAGGTATACAGAACTAAGATGTTAGGTAAAGTGATGATAATTAAGTCCACTTTTGTGTTTCTATCCAAACTAATTGGAAGATGACGATAATGAAATATGACTACGGCCATATTGAATATTAGTGGTATGGTAAATAATTAAAGACTTTTGCTAATTTTAAACATATGAGCTAGATAACTAGTGGAAAAAATTTACAAAATTAGCTACATTAGTTGTTCATAAAAATATGTGAGGATTTTTCTAAATATTTCTTCTAATCATGTACATTGAAAACTATATTTCGTAATGGAAAATCCTGTGCAATAAACGGGAGGAGTTTAGGAAGAAAATCATAGTAAATTTAGGAAACAAAATTGATTGAAGTCTTATAAAACTTAGAACCGGCTAGATTGGAGAGAGTATATATGTCAGCAGAAAATTGATTTGGACTATAATACATACCATCACAGAGTAAGCAACACCTTGAAGTCCCAGACAAGCAAGAGATGCACCAGCAAGCTGGGAGTCACCCAAACGACCCACAAAAATGAGAGTCACAAATATCAACATGTAGTTGAACATACCACTAGTTATAGCAGGCCATGATAACTCCCAAATCAGCTTCGTCTCCCAACCAACAACCTTAATCCACCGTTTCACTGTCTGAACCTTCTTCTCTCTATCATCATCATTCTTCCTCAGAAACTCCTCAACTTCTGCAGAAGAATAACGTGGAATCCAACAAACCTCTGCATTATCGTCGTCCTCATTGTCCACCCTTAATGTCAATAATGGCTGATGAGAGTTCATCTTTAGTTCGCAGCTTCCTCTTATGCTGTCGGTTTTGAGGTTGTATTGTTTTTATTGTTTTAGCGTAGAATCAAACCAAATAAAAAGGCTAGGGTGGGTAACAACTGTGTCGGTGTTAACTAACGATCAAATGTACAAGAAAATACAGGCGTCTCTGTCACCTGTGGTTCAACATGTACGAAAGCCTATTCCTTTTACTTTTAAACTCGGCCTAATTGTACCGACACGATTAGCGGGTAATTAAACAAGTTACGAAAAGCTAAGTGACATGTGACGAAATATAAAATAATACTCTTTGAATTTCTTAATGTAGAAGCTAATTATAGAGTAGATTTTGCTCGATCCTAAAATGTGAGGCTTATTTTTCATATTTATTAATTATTTTTTAAATCACTTTTACTAATACTCTCTCAATTATAATTAACTAGGACAGGAAAGAAAGTTTAAAAAAAGATGGTTAGGATATTTTAAAAAAAATATGTCACATTTATTTTAATTAATTAGCTCAATTAACTTTTTTAATCTAATCAAATTAGTTACATGAGACTTACATTAAATACTAGAAGAATCGTCGTACTAGCACCCCATTCTTTACCCTCCTAATAGTTACAATGCATATAATTAGAAAGAATTTTTTTTCACTCAAAAAAAGAACCGATATTTTAGGAAAATAGATAAATTTTTATAATAAATAACTAATTTTCTTAATATAAAAAATTACTTATGTAGTTGTGGTATTAAAAAAACAAAAATTCTTGAAGAGGAAAGAAGGTAGCTCGAGGGGGTTTGAATTCAATTTTCATTGATTTCCAGATTTTACCCTCTTTTTCGTGTTGTGAAAGGCTACAGTTTTCACTTTCCCAAACTCAATACACATTTCCAGGTCAAAATTAAATATTATTTTATCCACATCACTTCCATCAATGCAATTTCAGATCGGGATGTGAAGCGGCCAAGGGACAAAAAGTTTGTTTCATGTCTATGAATATATTTAAACTATCTGATTCTATCTATCTTCTATATATTCTATAAACGTCGTGAGTGCTTTGTGATTGGTCCACATAGATTTACAGGTGTTGGGCCACGTGGATTGTATTTTGTGGCTTGTGAATATTTATTTTTGCTTTTATCAGTTTTTTTGGGGAAGTTTAGGGGTCAGGTGTTTTGTTGTTTGTATTTAATTCCTGTGTGGGTCGTGGGGACTTGGAGAGGCAATATACAACGAACCCAGGAGGGAATATGAATCGATCACAAGCGAGCGAATGGGAAATTCCGTGGATATAAATCTCTTCGGTTTGGCCTTCTTTCTTCTGAGTTTGGTTCGGTAAAAAAATCTACAATTTATTTTTCTTATAGGCATGATTAAGTAACAGCGAATGTTATCTGCACTAAAGTATTCCATAATGTAATTACGATTTGATATGAAAAGACTTGCTAGATGGGTATATCTATGCAATTTTTCTTCCAACTATTGTTGCTCACACTTTCTTTGATTCTTCCTTAAAATAAATTAGTCCAAGGTCATAAAAATCATAATTCAGCTGCTCCAAAAAATTATATCTTTCAAAAAGATTTAAAAGTAAAAGACTCCGTTATGGCAGATCCCGTGCATTTTACAGGATGATTCATGAGGAGGGAACAATAATGAGATGGGACATTGACATGTTAAAATGTTTTAATGTCCATATTTCATAAAGAAAAGTTTCGAAGTGGAAAATATTATTTATATTATTTATAATTTATAAATTTCTGAAATAAAGTATTGAGGCAGAATTAAAAGAAAAGAGAATAGTTTTTTTTATCAGAGTTTCATATAAACTTTTAAAACATAACAACTATATTTATTGCACTCCTCCGTCTGATTCATAGGAGGTGCGTATGCTTAGATGTAAAATTTTAATCATCCAAACTTAAATGATATTGTTTTACAAATTTTTGGTTCTGTTTTGATTAAGGAAAATTTCATTGCTCCTCCATCTGAAAACTTCATTTGTTAATATCTGACCCTAAAGAAAAAATAAGATAAGCACGTGCGCCTTGCTTGGCTTTTTTTGATATCTCTGACGGCAGAAAAGACTTTTCATCTTGATGATAAAAAATCCAAAATTTTTTTATTTAATATTGTTCTTATCCTGTTTTTAAAATTTGGATTATTGAAATTTAAGTTTCAATTCAGACTATTTTGGATCAAAAATCAACTAATTTGCATATGTATACCAAAAAATAACAATTACTTGAAACCAAAAATTAGTTTCAGAAGATATCATATAATAAGGAGGAGAGAGGGAGAGAGTAGTTTATGGCTTTTTAATTAGATAATTCATTGATTGATTCATTGATCTGGCTAAATTAACTACTATTGATAATGTCCTGTTTGTGAAATTTGGATTATTAAAATTCACACTTCAATTCAAACTATTTAAACCAAAAATCAGCCAATTCTCACATATCAAAAAATGACAATTATTTAGGATAAAAAAATTATTTCTAAAAACGTCATATAACAAGAGGACTGGTGAGTGATTGATGACTTCTCTAAAAATAAATATATATTTCTTACATGTTTATTGTTTTTAACTTATTTTAATTAATTTTTTATTATGTGCAAATTAGTTATTTAGAGTTTATAATAAGAATAGGATGGAGTATGTACTCCTCAACTCTTCCCATTCCATCTTCCGATGTCATCAATGACTATTTTCCTTGCACTTATTTTACATTGAAATCTTAACCATCTCTAATTGTGCTCCTTAAAATATTATCTGTTCACAGTAGGTGTTTTGTGTGTTGGTTACATTTCTCAATTTAAATTTGTGTTGCGTTGTTCGGTGAGACATAACCTTCTAAATTCTTCTGTTTGTTGTTTAAATTTCAGTGTGTTTGTATTCTTGTGGGACCTATGTGAGAAATTGTAAGGAGGGGGTATTTTGCTAATTAGGATATTAATTTGACTAAATGCATGGTGAAACTTAATACTCCCTGTCATCCTTATTATAGGGCATTACAACTAATTCTCCAATACTAAAAAGTGACAGTTATTTTAGACTAAAAATTACTTTTAGAAAATGCTCTATAATAAGAAACAGAAAGAATAGTTCATGACTTAATCAATTCATTAATTGATTGATCAATTAGTATGAAAAAATTAACTACTATTGTTCCTAGCAAAAATAGAGAGAAATTAATTATTGGTGTTACCCTGTATTTGGAATTTAGATTATTGAAATTTAAATTTTAACGGGGATAATAATTCAACATGTTTCACGCAAGACAAACTTTGAATTGTATTAACTTTATCTTAAAATATAACAATTTCTTAATTTTACCCCTATTATATGTACATTTTAAAAAAACCTATGCTGAAATAAATGCAAAACAATATATATAGTATGTTCATATTAAAAATTTAATGATATGACTTATAAATATGACAAAGAAAATATTTTATTTTTGCCTTATAATTAGATCCAAAGGAGCACCATAGAGTGGTTGGCTGAGGGTATGCCAAATGACAAGTTGACTGTGAGAAATGACAAGTTCACTTTAGCGAATAACAACTCCAGTAAACCAAATCACAACTTGGCTTAGGAGCATTTTAGACATTTCATCAAGATTTCATATTTGCAATATGGGACCGGTCTTTATTTGCCATTTTTCAAATTGAGGGTCCTAAATCATAATTTTACATATTGGGAGTTTTTATTTGCCATTTTTTCTAAGTATAAACCAGCCCTGACGGAAAGGGCATGGAAAACTTGGTTTCAATTATGGTAGGGTGTGGAATTTGATATTGAAAAGAAAGTTGGAAGGTAATATTCGTATACTTATGTCAATGTGATCGTGTTAATAATAATATATATTTTATATTTTATACGTTCTATATAATTTACTTTTAGGATTATTATGTAAGAAAGCTATATCTTAAGGTTAAAATATACCAATAGGTGATACTTTAAATAAATCAAATAGTAATAAGTGATATTTTTTAGGGGGACATTGGTGAAAGTTTCCATAGGATTCAAGAACTTTATAGTTTCTTTACTCTTAGAGGAAAAAAACTTCAAAATCTATAACATAGACTATAGTAACAGGCATATACTCTCTCCAGTGCATAATATAAGTCGTTCTTGGTTTGATTCAAAATATAAATCACTTTGAGAATAATAACTACCTTTTCTTGGTTCTAATCAAATTGACACATGTTATGAATTGAAAGAGAGATGTGTTTTTATAATTCATGTGTTATTACATAATGGTGACAATATAGTTTTTCCAAGAGATAATTATCTCAGTAATTGACGATGTTATATATCAACATCACATATGATTATTGTACTAAATTTATTACATATGTATTATCATATTGTCAATTATATTTCAAGATCTGTCAATCCTAAACCCTGAACATAACTAGTATGGTTTTTTATACTATTGGTAATGAAGACAATAAATATCAATATACCTATTTTGAATTGACACAAAGATTTACAATTATAATTTCTGATAAGTATTTTAACAATTTTGCATGTTTGGCGTATTTTAACAAAAATGGTTAATGTGTGTTCTTAAATTCAAATTTTAGTGATTGAACTATTATTAGTTCACCCGTGCGCTTTCTGTTGTGAAATGCGAAAATACCCTTTACAAAGTTTTAAAATTGTTTGAACTTGCCTACAATAACTGCTTATAAATAAATACGTTCATACAAATCGAGATAAAATTCTTCTCATATGCTCAATTGTATTTATAAATCACGATTGAAAATCTATTTTTAAAGTATCATATGGTCATTTCAAACATTTCATATCGCTCATGCGCTACAGTCTATACACTCAAATTTAGTAAATTTGAAACCAAAGACACACTAAATCTTGTATTCCCGTTATGTAAATGAGACATAAGAGTATGAGACCACGTATACTTTTC